GAGCCCTCAGAAATAACAACACACATTTACAACCATCTGATCTTTGACAAACCTGACAAAAACAAGAAACACGGAAAGAATTCCCTATTTAATAAATGGTGCTGGGAAAACTGACCAGCCATACGTAGAAAGCGGAAACTTCCTTACACCTTATATAAAAATTAATTCAAGATGGATTAAAGACTTAAATGTTAGACCTAAAACCATAAAAACCCTTAAAGAAAACCTAGGCAATACCATTCAGGACACAGGCATGGGCAAGGACTTCATGACTAAAACACCAAAAGCAATTGCAACAAAAGCCAAAATTGACAAATGGGATCTAATTAAACTAAAGAGCTTCTGCACAGCAAAAGAAACTATCAGAGTGAACAAGCAACCTACAGAATGGGAGAAAATTTTTGCAATCTACCCATCTGACAAAGGGCTAATATCCAGAATCTACAAAGAACTTCAACAAATTTACAAGAAAAAAAAAAAAAAACCATCAAAAAGTGGGAAAGGGGCCAGGCGCGGTGGCTCAAGCCTGTAATCCCAGCACTTTGGAGGGCTGAGACAGGTGGATCACGAGGTCAGGAGATCGAGACCATCCTGGCTAACCCGGTGAAACTGCGTCTCTACTAAAAAATGCAAAAAACTAGCTGGGCGAGGTGGTGGGCGCCTGTAGTCCCAGCTACTCGGGAGGCTGAGGCAGGAGAATGGCGTAAACCCGGGAGGCAGAGCTTGCAGTGAGCTGAGATCTGGCCACTGCACTCCAGCCTGGGTGACAGAGGGAGACTCTGTCTCAAAAAAAAAAAAAAAAGTGGGAAAGGATATGAACAGACACTTCTCAAGAAGACATTTATGCAGCCAACAGACACATGAAAAAATGTTCATCGTCACTGATCAGAGAAATGCAAATCAAAACCACAATGACATACCATCTCACACCAGTTAAAATGGCCATCATTAAAAAGTCAGAACAGCAGATGCTGGAGAGGATGTGGAGGAATAGAAATGCTTTTACACTGTTGGTGGAAGTGTAAACTAGTTCAACCATTGTGGAAGACAATGTGGTGATTCCTCAAGAATCTAGAACTAAAAATACCATTTGCCCCAGCCATCCCATTACTGGGTATATACCCAAAAGATTATAAATTATGCTACTATAAAGACACATGCACACGTATGTTTATTGCAGCACTATTTACAATAGCAAAGACTTGGAACTAACCCAAATGTTCATAGATGATGGACTGTATTAAGAAAATGTGGCAGATATATGCCATGGAATACTATGCAGCCATAAAAAATGATGAGTTCATGTCCTTTGCAGGGACATGGATGCAACTGGAAACCATCATTCTGAGCAAACTATCGCAAGGACAGAAAACCAAACACCCCATGTTCTCACTCATAGGTGGGAACTGAACAATGTGAACACTTGGACACTGGGCAGGGAACATGACACCCCGGGGCCTGTCGTGGGGTGGGGTGCAGGGGGAGGGATGGAATTAGGAGAAATACCTAATGTAAATGATGAGTTAATGGGTGCAGCAAACCAACATGGCACATGTATACCTATGTTACAAAGCTGCAGGTTGTGCACATGTACCCTAGAACTTCAAGTATAATAAAAAAAATACTGATTTTTAAAACTGGCTTAACTACTTTTAGTAAGGGGAAATATAACAAAATCTAGTAAAATTCAGGATATGCACATCCTAAAACCCAGGAATTCTACTCCTAAGAATTATATTTAGCTGAGAGAATCTTCTGTATATAAGGAGACCGGTACAAAAATACATCATATCATCATTGGTACTGTTTGCAAGCAATTAGAAACTAGCTGATTATCCATCAACAGAAGAATAAATACATTGTGGCATATTTACATAATAGAATACTGTACAGCACTGAAAAGGAAGTTCAAACCATGTTTGAACATGAGGCAGCAGTTTCCAATACAGTCTAAATTAACACACAAAATCCAGTATTTATATCATTCATTAACAAGCTGATTTTGAAAATGTAATCTTTTACCAAATACAATTCCTATGTATATTTTCAATCCATTCTAATCCAGTTGAGTGAGAACACACAGAAGACTACTGTTTTGACTAAGTTTAGTATACAGCTCTTCCTTTAAATTGTCTTGTAAGAGTTATGTGCTCCAAGAGCACTTTCCCTAGAGCTGATGAAGTCAGTGCTTTTGGAATGCAGCAGTCCAAGACCTGACATAAAAATACCAATGAATCAATAGTTCACAATAGTTCAAAAAGTGTTTCTTCAAAGACTATCAAAAATCTTAAACTCTTATTATAGGAATATGAACACCAAAAGGCACGTTATTTCCCTTATGATTACACAGAATCTGGATAATTTCTAAGATTGCATGGTTGAGGTTTAAAAGGTCAGACAGATAATATTAGACCCATTCATAAATTATAAAATATATTTCATTCCCAGTCAAAATTTGGCTTTAAGTCTGTCATGAGGGCCTGGGATTTGTCTTATATATTTAATAATGTATTTCATTTTTCTTGGAAAAGCTAAAAAAAGGTTAAAGTCATGGGTCATAGCCTCTAATGAGATCATTCATTTCACAAAGGGGAAAGTTATTTTATGCCTGTAAAGATGTATACACCCTGCCTGTAATGGAGCCTATTTTTCCCAATGAGAAGTAGATAAGAGAGGTGTACTTATCCTCCTCATTTTATAGATGATTAAGATGAAACTCAAGAAAAGTAAGACCTTTCCACAGTCACACAAATGTAGATAATATTTAAATGCATCGCGACCTCTGGAAAATATTAATATTAATAGGTGTTCTAGTAATTCTTTTTATTGCAGTTCTTTTTATTGTTCTACTAATATATTGTTCCACAAGCATGGCTTATCAACTACCTTTTGGCCTGCTATTTCTGGGCCCCATCCTGTCTGCTAACCCTATGGTAAACCCTTTGAGTAGATGAGGATGAGGTTAATGCTGATGTGTTTGGCAAACCTCTAGTGAGATTACTTATCAAATAAGCTCCATAGTTGCTGCTATGATCTGGATGTGGTTTGACCCTGCCAAAACTCAGGCTGCAATTTAACTGCTGATATAATTAAATGTTGAGAGGTAGTGGGATCTCTAAGAGGTATCTGGGTAATGAGGGATCTGCTCTCATGAAGGGTTAATGCAGTCTCACAGGGGTGAGTAAGTTCTTGCTCTTGGGTTGTTATAAAGTGAGGCTGCCTCTTGTGTTTGGTCTCTTTGCAAACACCCACTCTCCTGTCTGCTTTCTGCCATGACATGAGGCAGCATGAGGTGTTCACAGATAGGCTGTATGATCCTGGACTTCCCAGCCTCCAGAATCATGAGCCAAATAAACTTCTTTAATTTACAAATTACCCAATCTCAGATATTCTGTTATAGCAACAGAAAACAGACTAAGACAGTTGCCAAGCCTAACTGGGCTTCACTTCATACTATTTAGTCCAGCGGGCCTCAGCTATGGTTGCAACATTGGAATCATCTGAGGAGCTTTAAAAAGTACTGAAGTCACTTGTAATCCCACCACTTTGGGTGGCCAAAGCAAGCAGATTGCTTGAGTTCAGGAGTTCGAGACCAGCCTGGGCTACTTGGAGAAACCCTCTCCATGGACAAACCAAAAATACGAAAAAACTTAGCTGGGTATGGTGCTGCACACCTGAATCCCAGCTCCTTGGGTGGCTGAGGTAGGAGGAACATTCGAGCCCAGAAGGCAGAGGCTGCAGCAAGCCCAGATATTGCACCATTGCGCTCCAGCCTGGATCACAGAGCGAGACCTCATCACACACACACACACACACACACACACACACACACACACAGAGCACTTTAGTCGAGGAACTATCCCCTGAGATTTTGATTTAATTGCTCTGGGGTGCAATTCTAGTCCTGGGAATTTCCCCCCTACATTTTTTTCTAGAGACAGGGTCTCACTTTATTACCTAGGCAGGAGTGCAACGGCATGATCATAACTCACCATAGCCTCCAAATCCTGGGCTCAAGTGATCCTCCCACTTGGGGCTTCCACCTGAGCCTCCCAAGTAGCTGGGATTACAGGCACTTGCCATCATGCTTGCCTAATTTTTATTTATTTTTTTGTAGAGATAGGGTCTTGCTATATTGCCCAGGCTGGTCTCAAACTCCTGGCCTCGAGCCATTCTCCTGCCTCAGCCTCCCAAAGTGTTGGAAACAGGCATGAACCACCATGCACAGCCTCCCTCAACATTTTATAAAATGTTTTAAACGTATAGAAAAATGGAAAGAATTTTACTGTGAACATGCATACACCAACCATCCCATCCAAATTCTACCATTAATATTCTTTTATTTGCTTATCACATATCTATCCATTTATCATTTCCTCTCTCCATCCATCAACCTATTTTTTCCATGCTGCATTTCAAAGTAAGTGGCAGATATTATACACTTCCCAGCATGAGGAATTTTAAAAACTGCCCAATGATTCTAATGTATAGCTAAGACTTAGCACCACTGATTTGGATTTCAGTGTTTCCACTGGAGTTAGTTTAAGTCAAAGCTTACCTATATCAGTTTCAGGCTTCCTGCTGTGGGGTACCATAGGGACAAAACCCACAGGCAGCAAAAGAACAGTATCATCACATTCACTCAATTGCCTCTGAGTCTGTTTCCAGGTTTTTTTCTTTTTAGAAATGTGTTTTAAAAATTCAGCAAAAAGAGGTATAGGCTTTCTACATTCTCAGGCAATGACCACACATAAAATGATTACAATAAAGCTTCAAGTAGTCACAGAATGGGTTTTGGCTTCACAATTTTAGGTTTCAGCAACTACGGAATGTAAATAGAAGTCACCTGGCTATCGATGAGGCCACAAACTTAGGGATGTCCAGAGACTACAGACTTAGTAAATGACAGAGCTAGACATTCTCAAAATCTAGCAATATTTAATTTGATAATTGGTATTTTTAAAATTCAGACAAGAAAAATCAGAAAATAAATCTCATACCTGGAGTTTTCCCTTTTCATAGGCCAGTTTATTTTTACTTTCAGTAATTTTTCCCAAGATTTTTTCCACCTTCTGTTGGGCAAGCTGATAAGGCAAACATAGGCATCAGAATCTCTAGGCATAAAAAGAATAACCATTTTCATTTTTAAACACGTATTTACATCCTTACCATTTCTATCATCATAAGATCAAGATTCCTATCTATTTGCTACTGCTGCTTTTAGTCTTTCCCTACATAGTTGATCACAGGGCTAATATGCAACATGTACAGAAGACTGCTAATAAAAGCATGAAGCCTTAAGAGTACCAGAGTTGGTTGGTTTTGTATATTAACTCTTTTTTTGTTATGTCAGTTACTCCTTTGTAGTTGTGACCCAACACGGATGTGGTGTGGTTGTATCAGTGACTGCAGGTAGTCTGTGGAGCATTACACAGTTCTTTACGGAAACAGCAGCTGCAAGTGACCAGGACCACTGACAGCAGAAGGCACCTCACTTACTATGGTAAAAAGCAGTTTAGATAAATCTCAGAAACAAAATAAATGTTTACTGGAGACTCAAACTCATTGTCTGATCAAATACTCAACACAGTATTATCTGGGGCAAACATTATCAAAGGTTCCATATTTTATGAAATTACATACTTTCATTATTCAAACAGCCTTTAATAATGACAGTTATTTTTTCATATCCTGTTGTTCTCAGACTATATCAGAAAAAATAAGTACAAAATTTAAATTTGGGGCCATATTGGTACTTTCTTTATATAAGGGGCACCATTAAGTGATTGAACATGGAAATTTTCACTCTTCACAATCAATGCCAGTGCTATATCTTAATAACAGGAAATATTGTCATATGTCAAAATCACCTTCATAAACCAAATGTGGAGATAATGCACACAAAGCAAATTAATCACTCATAAGCTAACTAGCTGCACTATGGATCATTTGCAGTAAATCTTAAGTTCAAAGTCTTATTAATGTTGGTAAGTATCTTATATTGACATCATTCACTATTTCTGGTTTATATTTGCTTATTCTGTGAATAACAGAGTGCCTTTTAGGCATTTTAAGACAAAGAATTTTAGACTTTTGTTTTATGTTCAATTTTAGGTAAGCTGATAAAGATAAAACCCATGTATTAATTTACATAAGAGATATTCCTCACTACCTCCAACATGATTACAGCTATTCTTTAGTCACCACTTTGTAATATCCTTTAAGTGTGTGAACCTACCACACATGCTTCTAAATAAAAGCAAAAACACATTCCAAACTAGATTACTATAATCTGTAACTCATATTTTCCTCTGTTCAAAATATTTTCTATGAGAAGGCACACTAAGCTGGGCACAGTGGCTCACACCTGCAATCCCAGCACTTTAGGTGGCTGAGGTGGGAGCATCACTTGAGGCCAGGAATTCAAGACCAGTCTGGTCAACATAGTAAGACCCTGTCTCTACAAAACATTAAAAAATTAGCTGGGCACAGTGGTGCATGCCTTTAGTCCTAGTTACTTGAGAGTTTGAGGAGGGAGAATGGCTTGAACCCAGCTGGTGGAGGCTACAGTGAGCCATGATGGTGCTATTGCACTCCAGCCTGGAAGACACAGCAAGACCCCCATCTCCTTTAAAAAAAAAAAAAAAAAAGTTATAGTAGTCTGGAGCATTGTTTTCTCCTTAGTAGTTGCCTTGGCTAGAAGAATTTTCATTTTTGACATTCAACACTTCATAAAAATCAATGGAAAAGCCATAAAGAATTAGCCCTTGTATACCATCTACCCTAAAATCATACACCTTTAACATAAAAACTTATACCCAATATTAGGCTTTGGTGGATTATTAACTATTAGACCAAGTATTTGTCCTGTCAGAATATTTATTTCATACATTATTATACATATTCATAATTCAGTTTTTAAAAGTTTTAAAAATTACTGTGTTGCTCCCAGTAAAGCAAAGGAAAATATATTTTAAAAAGCATTTAGACCAGTAGAGTATTGGTTTCAAAATAACCTGAGGAAAATGTAGACTGCTATCAATAAACAGGAAACTGGTGACGACAAATATATTATCACAAAATCAGCTCATCATCAATTAATTTTCTATCTGTGGAAAACACAGTCCTCTTTGCCAAAATATTATCTATTTTGGGATCTATGATGCAAAATCATTCCATGAATGTAACATTACAATTTAGGATTATGTTGACCAAGTTTTCAGCAGCAAATAAATTGTAAGGATGATCAATAATACCACAAAAGCAAAGCTACAATAACAATAAAAGCTTAATTATTTAAAATTCGATTCAAACTTCTACAAATTAAGATGTCTCAGTGTGCTGTAAAGCATAGGTAAGAACATATAAAAAAACAAGAACTAGAGTTAACCTAAAGTATGCTATCTCTAACAAATACTAAACACTCAAAAATAACTATCTTCTTGAAATGGAGAAAGGTTTTTTTTTAAAGAATAACTTAAATTATCTGGGTCTTCTATAAAAGGTGACCAGAAATTTAAAAAATAATGGTGCTTTTTCCCCATCAACATAATTCCCTCTTTCAGGCAAAGGCATGAAGAACTTCCATTAATCTTTTAAATATACTTTTAAAATAATAATTTTCCCATTATGCCACCAAAGAGAGTGCTAATGTACTAAATGAAAATTGAGCAAAATCAAAATGTGGTAATATTTGACAAAGGTTCACTTATTTAAATATTATGACACACACAGAAAAATTGTTCCAAGTTGCTAAGGGAAAGTGGATGTTAAGGCAGTTACTTAAATTACTGTTTACAAATTAAATAGACCCTGTACCTGTACAGGAGATCGGGAATTAGAAAACACTTAAATAAGTGAATATCTCAGGCTCTGAGTTATAGAAGACTGAACTGAAATTAACTTTTGCTTAAATACTCTTGGTAATATACTATAAACATGATTAGTATATAGAGCAAAACAGAAACTGGGGAATCATTTGAGAAACATCATACAGAGAAAAATACCAAGCATTAGAATATCAATTCTAACTCAGAAACACAAAGATAGCACTCTTTGGAAAGGCAGAAAGTAAAAATAGGAAGAATTATCTTAAGATATGAAAGATAGGTTGCCAAAGATCAACAGTAAGCCACCAAATTATTTCTAAAATCATTTTTAAATCCACGTGAGCTGTACAAGTTAGCAGAAGCTGTTAGAAGAATACACAAAACCAGTAGGATACTGGCATCTTGGTAAAGCTATTTTATAAGCAGATTGTAAGCATTTTTTAAAGTTTTTGATTATTTTGAATTTTTTATTCAAAATATTTAACAACAGTATGACATGAGCCCCAGAAAATCAAACCAACTTTGACATCTGCATGAGTGTACACTGACAATGTCATCCTGGTTTTAAGAAATAATACATTTTAGTTCATCTTCTAATTTCAAGTCTTTAAAGTCCCAGTTGTATAGGGAATTATGTTTCTGTCTGGTGCTACAATTTTAAAATATATGTTTAAACCCCAAAAGAGAAGTGGGGAGGAAAATCATTCAAACTGAACTCAGGCATAGTAACCTTCCTACATTTGGATCTTTTCTTACTGTGGGTCCCTGCGTGACTGCTAGTGGTAATGGAATTAAATTGCACTATCACTACAGGCTAAAATGGCAAAAAAAAAAAAAAAAAAAACCCTGAAATTACGAAATATGAAAGAAAAAGCAGAAAGAATATTATTTATTATTGCAATATGACATTAATCCTTACTGCCTGGCAAAACAGACATGACCTTCTTTGTATTCCAGTCAATCAATGTTTTTAAAGCACCTATTATGTATTAGGCATTATGCTAGGCAAGAGAATATAAAGATGAATACTGTTCTTGCATTAGAAGAGAATGAAGGCAGATGCATAAACAGGTCAATTTCTAATCAATGTAGTAATTATTCTGATATGTGTGTGCAGAGTGTACTGTGGGATACCTACACTAGGAAAGATCCTCTTGGCATTGCAGGCCATGAGAGGTTAAGAACCTGCCCAGGTCACACAGTAAATGGAGGTTGAAACCAGATCTATCTGAATTCAAGTTTGTGATGTTACACACACAACACACAGTCTTATGTGTATCTCCAAAAATCAATGAGGGGTTAGACCAGAAGGCACCTTTTATAAAGAATTTCAAGTTTTAACTCTCAAAGAACAAAAATACACTGCCAGTATTGAATGACAATAGATTTAACGATACTGCTAAGATTCAAAAACAAATCCTGAAATCCCTAGCTCATTCCTCAAACTCATATAGCCAACTGAAGCATTTCCAGGCAGGCATGGTCAGAGACACTTCTGGGTGGAGACAGAACTGCAAGCTACAACTGCGTTATCTATGAGTCATCACTGGGAAACTGTAATCAAGACGTGGTAGACAGGCAAAAATCAACACTGACCAAATCACTGGCAAGATCTGTCAAAGTCATTAATAGGGTAAGGCTAGGCCTGCTCACTGGCAATGGATTCAGGAAAAAATCAGTCAGATTGAGAATGTGGTCTTCCAAAGGAACCCAGCTGAGTCTTGCCAACCAGCAATGGACATGGCTGAATCTTTAATTCTGTGGAGAGAGGGGGTTGGTCTGAAATAGTATCAGGGATTACAGCTAATGGATCTTGTCATTCCAATAGGCACTTATATGTAATTTTTTTTTTCTCTGAGACAGTTCAGATACTAAGAATTCAATAAATGTTAGCTATCTGCCACATGTTCTGTATTAATTTACTTAACCTCAAACATCCACACAGTTATAGCATTATTATCCTCATTTTGACAGATTAAGAAACTGAGGCTCAGTGAGGTTAAGGATCATACCCGAGGTCACAGCCAAAACTGAAAAGCAGGAAATCTGGCTTGAAAACCATGACCATATAAGAAGATTTAGACTTAGTCTGTATAATTTTTCATAGTTGAAGTAATGAGCAGCTTATAACAGTTTGAAAGACTTTAGCTCAGATTAAAACAGACTCACAATGAGGTCTTCCAGGAATTCTCAAAGATTATTTGCATGCTTAAAAGCAGTAAGTAATACTTTTTCATGTATTTGAAAGCACACAG